CTTGGACACTCCAGGGATCCAGGGGCAGCCACAGCTTCTCTGGGCAACCTGTGCCGGGGCCTGCCCACCCTCCCAAGGAAGAATTTCTTCCCAATAACCCATTTAAATCTTTCCTCTTTTAGTTTAAAATCATTCCCCTTTGTTCTGTCTCTCAAGGCCCCTTGTCCAGTCCCTCTCCAGCCCTTGGAGCATCTTCATGGCCTGGATTTCCAGGATGTGTAAGCAGTGGTGCTGCTGTCCCTTCCGTGGGCTCTGACAGCAAATGTCCCAGTATTTTACTTTATTTTTAGCACTGGCCTTTGAGCCCCTCAAAAATCATCAGACAAAGGAGAGGTGGGAAACTTCTTTTAGCCTGATTTTAACGCTGATATTTTCTGGTGAAACATCAGAGTCGATTTAACCACGAGATTTCTCTTGGCACCTTCCCATTGTTCGGGAGTTGGCACCGCACCAGCACCGCCATTCCCACCACTGACCTTCCCCTGGGGCTTCTGGGCTGCTGGTGGTGACAGCAAGGAAAACACACAGAATTAACGTGGAGATTTGCCCTTTAACAGAGCTGATGGCTGGGTGTGTGGTAAACTGTCATACTCGAAGCTGCTTTCGAAGGTGGAAGTGGGAGCTCGGCTCCGGCGAGATCCCAGATCCGAGCAGGGAATTGCATCAGTGCTGGTGTTTGGGCAAGCTCTGGGAAAGGCACAGGATGAACTTTCTGAGCGTTTTGGCAAGGGGTGGAACGAGCTGAGTTCCGAGCTGGGAAGGAGAAAGCAGCTTGTGCAGAGATTTTTTTGGAGTGGAATCAAAACTTGGGATGGGGCTGTGGCTTCCTGCAGCTGCCAGTTGGCTGGTGCAGTCGGAGATGTGGAAGTGGCGATGGGATCTCACACGTGGGCTTCTTCCTGGCTCCTCATGGGGGGGGAGGACAAGTGTGTGAACGGCCACGTGAGGCTGAAAACAGGTTGTTATCAACCCACAGCCCGCCCAGCCGGGGTTGCTGGGAGCAGGTCACGGCCAACCAGCAGCACCCAACCTGACAAACCTGGGGCAGGCCCAAAGGTGGACCCACAACAGCTCTGGAACAATCCCAGGGTTTCAGAGTGGGCCTTGCAGGATGTGGTGTGGAAGGTCGGGATTGGATGACGTGGGAAAAGGGGAGTTTGACCCTCCAGCACAGGGGTGGATCGGGATGGAGCCTCCAGGAAGAACCAGCTCCGGGCAGGCGCAGCAGAAGCTCTGTGGACGTTGTTGTACGACTTCCACTCCCTTCCTTCCCCCTCAGATAGTGAAACTCTCACCCAGCTGTGTCTCAGGTGGGTGTTAGAGCCTAAATCCTTCTCCCCACAGCACAGTACCTGCAGGATTGTCAGAGTGGAGCCCCAGCTGAGGTCACCTGGCAGGCATCTCCTCGTTCCCAGTCCTGCAGCCTCATAGGGTGGGCACATTCTTGTTGTCATTCAAGAGGTGAGGCTCCCCCATGGAATGGGCTATAACACCTTCCCAGCTTGCCTCTGGCAGGAGAGAGAGGCTGAGGGGTGTGTGTCTCCAGGGAGAAGGTCTCCAAATCCAGGCCTTTGAACCCCTCTTGGGGAATTTTTTTCCCGTTGAAAGCTGTGTTGGAGAGGGGAGAGCAGACACAGCGTGGCCTCTGTGTTGGTAGGTGCCTGCATTCCAGGGGACAGCAAAGCCCCTGGGAACATGCCAGTAAATAGTGGAGGAGGGGAACCATATGGAAAGTGCCTGGAAAGCTGCAGCTTATTGCCTGGTTGTTGTGGCTTTAATCTGCATCTGCACTGGCTGGGAGAGGCCGACTGAACATCCCAGGGCTCCTGGATCCTGGGATGTGCTGGCTCCCCTGGGCTCCTGGATCCTGGGATGTGCTGGCTCCCCAGGGCTCCTGGATCCTGGGATGTGCTGGCTCCTCAGGGCTCCTGGATCCTGGGATGTACTGGCTCCCCTGGGCTCCTGGATCCTGGGATGTGCTGGCTCCCCTGGGCTCCTGGATCCTGGGATGTGCTGGCTCCTCAGGGCTCCTGGATCCTGGGATGTGCTGGCTCCCCAGCACCGCTGCCAGAAGCATTCCCTGGTTCCCAGTGAGTCCCTCTCGTTGCTGTTGCAGCTCTGGGGCTGCCTGTGAAGCTGCTCAGTGATTCTGCATCACTGTTTTCTCTCTCTCTCCTGGCACTGACTGTTCCTTCAGCGTGACCTGCTGCTCCTCACTTAACATCCAGGTGATTTGGGTTTGCTCGAGCGCTCAGAGTGGCAGAAACAATCTCCACACAGACCCTGGTGGCTGCTTCTCCTCCGTTCCTGCTGACTCCTGGGAGTGGTTCTGATGACAGAGTTCCCCTCCAGCCAGTAACTTTCCAGGCTGAGATCAGTTCTAGCTCCGTTTCCCTGTGCTGTTCCGTGGCATTATCAGGATGCTTTAGGAGCAGCTGGTGGATCTGCTCTGCTCACTTCACAGCTGGGCCTTTAGTAGGGCAGTCTCCTGGTGAAAAATAAGTCTGCTAATCCCTAATTCCCTCAGTTTGTTCGGGGCTGTCTCTGTCCTTCCCGTTGGAATTCAGCTGCAGGGACTCAGCAGAAAGCAGGATGGACCGGTGGGTTGGGTGGATGGGCTGAGTGATGGACTTGAAGCTGAGATTTAGATTGGATATTAGGAAAAATGCTTTCCTGGGAGGGTGGGCAGGCCCTGGCACAGGTTACCCAGAGAAGCTGTGGCTGCCCCTGGATCCCTGGAAGTGTCCAGGGCCAGGTTGGACGGGGCTTGGAGCAACCTGGGACAGCGGAAGGTGTCCCTTTTGTTCCTCGTCTGTTTAAATCAGGATGTTTATCTGGCATGAGTGTATTTTCAACATGGGAACGTGCAGATGGAAGGATTGTATCCCACCTGACTCTGTCCCTACGTGGAATCTTGGAATCACAGGAGGATTTGAGTTGGAAGGGATCTTAAAGCCCATCCAGTGCCACCCCCTGCCAAGGGCAGGGACACCTTCCACCAGCCCAGGGTGCTCCAAACCCCGTCCTGCCTGGCCTTGGACACTTCCAGGGACTCAGGGGCAATATTTGCACAGATATCAGAGCTAAAGCAGATACCCAGCTGGTGCACCCGGGGAGAACATCCATGACACATCCGTGTTGCTGCCAGGGGTGTGACTGCCCCGGCTCTGAAAAGGCTCAGGGCTAAATATAGAGCCCCACACTACGCTGGGTGCTGTTTTGGAAGGTGTGGCTGAGCCCTGGCTCTGCGTGTTCCCCTCCTCCCCCCCTCCCCGTGCCGCAGGGGGGTGGAGGATGAATCTACGTTACTGTGTTTCGCTTCCTTGCGTTATTTTTGGTCTCAATCCAGTGGGTTTTTCTGGGCTAGGATGTGCCCTGATTTTAAGGTGAGGAGCGGGTGCTGCCGTGTCGCTCTGGAAACTCCAAATGGGTGGAAGGTGCTTTTTTTTTTTATTTATTTGGGTTTTTTTAATACCTAATCTCAATTTCTGTGTAATCTGAGCAAAAGAATGAGGTGTATTTAACGGGCAGAGGGTGCTTTGTAGTTTTTTTGGGAGAGGCACTTTGAACGTGCTCTCAGCAGCGCTTGATTCTAAAAACTTCACTTGTAAAAACACTCCCAGGGATGGGGCTGTCACCTGTTCTGGTGGGAATTTGTCCCTGTGTGTACCGGCACTGCAGCCTGAAGGTCCAGCAGGAATATATGGATAACGTGTCTTGTTCTAAATTCAGGGGTTTCACTTGCAGTTTGAAGCAGCCAACTCCTCCCTTTCAGGGTATTTCCAAACTTGTAATAACCCTGGGATTTTTTTACTGTATTTATTTCATTTTTTAACCAAGTGCCCTCAGTAGCAGTTACAGCTAAACCAGGGCAGGGGCTCAGGAGGTGCAGATTTTTTTTTAAGAACTTGGTGATTGCTGCTCCTTCCCTTCTCTGCAGCTGGGGCTGCCTCAGGACTCAACCTCATTCACCACGTGCTGGTTTCGGCCCCGAAACGGGTTAATCTCAGAGCACAGGACTTTCTGGTTTGATTTTGGAGGAAACATCTGGACACTGCTGTGACTCCCCTGCCCCACGTGCTCTGACTGGTTCAGAATCGCCACGGAGGGAGGAGGGGGAGAGACGGGCAAAGGGAATTATTTTGGGATTAATTTCTTAATTGCCAAAGGTCCAGATGTGGCAAAGGCTTTGTGCAGGGGCACTGGGTTTGCCAGCACTTCCTGCTGGTGCTTTGTTTCTGCACCATCCCAGAGTTTTTTTTTTCCTTTCTGGGCAGCATTAATATTTATGCACCCACAACTGGGATGTTTAGGGTCTGTTTTCATGATATTAAAGCTTTAATTATGGAGAGTGGGGCCGTGGATTTATCCATGCCTTACCATCCTTGCGCGCCCTGGAGTGCAGCAGTGAAGATTAAAGGGTGTTTTGATGACAGTGGATATTATTTCCTGGCTTCTTTATTTGCTTAGTCCCATCTATCAGACGCAGAAATCCACTTTGCTGGTGCCTGTCCTTCCCAGCACCTCGTGCAAGGTGCTCTTGGCTCTGGCACTCCTCTGCAAGCCACTGAGAAAAAGTGGCCACTGAGGTTTAATTGGGGTGTTCAGGTGGATTTTTTTTTCAGAGAGGAGGGAGGGCAGAGGAGTTTGGTTTTCTGCAGGTCTTGGAAAAGTGGGTCTGGCTGATGTGGCCAGGTAGGACTGGAGCTGCTGGCTCAGCTGAGCGTGGAATAAAATCTTAACGCTTGCACGGGCAGGACTTCGCTCACCAGGCACCAAAAGTTGTTAAGAGTGTTGCTGTGCAGAGACATGGCCCTTCCAGCACCTCTGGAATTCCTTGGGAATCATTAGCAGCGATGGGGTGGTGTCAGCTGTGCCGTCCAGGATGGAGCTTTTCACCCACCCATCAGTTCCGCTCGGGTTTTTGCGTGGCCTGGATCATTAAAATCATGTTTAAAATAATCCCCCCCCCCCCTCCTGTGCCCTCTGTGTTTTCCCAGGAGGCGAAGGGCAGAGTGGAGATGGGCAGCAGACCGTGCAGCCATCGTCAGCCGCTGGAATTGGCTCCAAGCCCACGTCTCGGACCTGGAATACCGAATCCGGCAGCAAACGGACATCTACAAGCAGATCAGAGCCAACAAGGTGAGTTCCAGGATGCCTCTGGGGACCTGAGATCCTGCTTTGCCTCCCAGTGGCTCTTCCCTGGTGCAGGGGAGGGTGTGGATGTGAAGTCTGATGCTTTTTCCCCCCTCCTGCATCTCTCCAAAAGCAGCTGTGACTGATATTTGGCTTTTTTTTAAAAAAAAAAACAACCTTCCCACTCTTTGGGAGTAGCTAAAGATGGGGATAAGGAACAAGTTAACTGGGGAAGGGAGGGGACTGTAGAGGAAGTTAGTTCAGATGCTATCACAAGGCACAGGCTTAAAATTGAGTCTGAATCACAAAAAAAAAAGACCATTTTTAGGTGCTGACCTTTCTCTCTCCGTGGAAGGAGTTATTTTTTTTGCAGTCTCGCTCTCAGATGGTGGGAGAGTGGTGGAAGGGGGGGGGGGAGCAGAGAAGGGACGAGGAAGGAATCGTTGCTGAGGCTTGTTCAGGCATGCACATCATCCAAATGTCAGGCCTTGGAGGGAGGAATGCCTGGAGTTTGGGGCAGGAAGGCTGATGGTATTGCATCAACTTGGAGACCCTCAGGAATTCAGCCTGGCAAATGCTTTTCCAAGATGTGTGGAGCTCTGGAGAGGCTTCCAGAGGGGTAGAGAGCACAGGCAGGGGAGGGAACCTGGACTTTGATGCAGCTGTGCAGAAAAACAGGCTAATTGAGCGAGCGAGGGCTCTGAACGAGGAGGTGGAGGAGCAGAATCCATTACTGAGATTAGGGCAAAAGGCTGCTGGGAACTGGCTCTGTGTCAAATTAATGCTTCTTCACAAAGAGTCCTCTTCCTCCTGTCTCCGAGCCCGTTTTGCAACGTGTTTTTTAAGTGCAAAATGCAGAGTATCTGAACGTTCAGGCGCTAAAAGTTAACTAAGGGAAGACAGGAGAAAACTCACAAAGATTTGGGGCTTTCTCTGGGGTGGTGACAACTTGACAGGCTCGTGAAATGGCCTGGTGGTGGCTGCAGGCATCCCATGTGTTTTTATCTGAGGTTGCAGTCAGTCCCCAGGTCTGAAAGGTGAAAAAAAATACCAGTTTTGGCAAACAGGATGTCACTGCTTTGATCTGTTCAAACAAAAACTCGGCTGTGATAACCTGAGACATGAATTTAGGATAAAACACGGCGGCCCTTGAGGTGCAGGGGAGGTCAGATGTTCAGAGTTTTGGGTAGTGGCTGCTCTGCCTGAACAAGAAAAGACAAGAGCCACGAGTATCACACCCCCCATCTCCGACAGGGCTGGCTGGAGACACCTCTTGCACCCAGCTGTCCTCGAGCTCTGGTGCAACACACCCTGTTTTCATCAGTGAAAAACCCAGAGTGAGAATCAGAAAAGAGCTTGGGACAGGTATAGGAAACTAGGAAAAACAGCCCCATGTTTTACTAACGTGGCCTTGCTTGTTGGAATGGATTTGGCTTCAAACTTCACAAGGAAAAAAAAAACAATTAAAGAATTTAGAAACAACCTTGTTTTTTCTGTCAGCATGACTTAACTCCTGCTTATTTGGCCATAAGGAGGTTAAAACGATCCTGCTGCAAGAATTCAAAGTTCTGCAATTCAAAGAAACTCTATTTCAGTGTTTTTTTTTTTTTTTTTAGGTTAATTACTGTTTTATTTTAAGAGTTTACGGCCCCTTCAAGAAAAACACATTGCTGTGTCAGAGCAAAGCAAGGGAAGGCTGTGTGGGTGGCAGATGCTCCGTGTTTGGAGAGGAGCAAACAGCATTTTTTCCTCTTTTTCTGTGCCTCTCCCAAGCCTCGCTCTTTGATGGACCAAGAGGTGCTTTAAGATGAAGGGATCCTGCAGGAATCCCGTCCAGTGGCAGATTTGGTTGACTGAAACCCCGTAAAACCAGGCTTGTTGTGCACTTCTCTGCAGACCTGGGCTCCACATGTTCCCAGAGCATCCCAGCTGGGTTCACCGTGTTCCCCCAGGGGATTTGGGATGCTCTGGGAGCCTCCTGTCCCCTGGGGGAGGGCTGAGCTCTCTTGCTCGAGCTGCTGAGTCAAGAGAAACTCGTGATGGGAAGGGCGGGGTGGGAGTTGGGAGGAGCCTCTTGCTGGAAGAATCTGAAGCTCTCCCATGAGTTTCCTGTGTCTGCAGTGGTTGTGTTGGGCTTAGGGGGAGATAAGAGATGCTGTCAGCCCTCAGTGGGGCTGGTCAGGATGCTCAGTCTCTTCCTGATGTGTCTTAATGGGTGTCAGTCCTTTGCTTAATTCACCCATCAGTCCCTGGGCAGAAGCTGCTGATGATCCCAGGGCTCTGAGACACCCAAAATCTATCTCAATATCTGAGATCTATATGATTGACTTCTCATTATTACCGTAATTAGTGATAAAAATGGGATTAAAGAAGCAGCAAAATCATCCATAAGCATTGTAGGGGAACTTTCCTTTTTTTTTTCGTTGTTTTGAAGAATGCTGATGGAAAGTGTTTTTGGGACCTTGGAATAATTCAGATGCACTTTTCGTTTCCTGAAAGGAAATTTGATGTTGCCCTTCTGATTCCCCTCTATTATTCAAAATGAGTGTAAATAATGGAGATGTAAAACTCTTAGAAGCAAAGCAGGGAAGGCTGTAGTTTAGACTTCCAGCCTCTCTCCTCCCCTAAACATCCTTCTGGGATGTCAGAAAACTCCAGAAAACCATCATCCTGTTTATTCCAACCTCTGGCTGCTTCCTCATTGCCGGTCAGAGGCCACCTACGGCTGTGTTTAGTTTAAAACCGCTTTAAAATAAAGTGTCCCTGAACTACAACCATCCTACTGGCTGTGCTGTACCACAGAGTGTGTCAAGGCAGAAAAATCAGCATTAAAAGCCTTAAAATCCCTAACTGGTTTGGGTTGGAAGGGACCTTAAAGATCATCCAGTTCCAGCCCCCTGCCACAGAATTACCAGCGCCTCCTACCACGTCCTGCGGTGCTGGTCCTGTGAGATCTGACTCTGTGGACTGTGAGGGAAGCCTTGTAGCTCTCTCCTCTCTCCAGATGACGTGTCCAGGTTCCCCTTCCAGGCTCGCTTTCTTGTGACACACCGTGCAACCTCCAGGATTGTTTCCAGATGACTGATCTGCCCGTTCTTGGGCTGAGCGGCCCTTTCACGGTTCTCTGTCTGACCAAATTGCAAACTTGTCGGGGCTTGTCTTTGTCCTGGACTGCGTTCACGGCCTGTAGGTTCCCTCATCTCCCTAATCCCTCCCACATTTTGCCCTGCTTTGTTACAATACAGCTCAGAATGATTTTATTTCACTTCGTGTTTCAGTCCTGCCTTCAGATCAAACTTCACTTAAAACATGAGCAGGACAACATCTGTTAAGCCTGATAAAACAGTGCTCTGTCCCACCAGCTGATAGCAATGTTTCTCAGTGCTTTTCTTGCCTTGCTGAATTTTGTGAACATCATTTCTTTGGGGAGGGAAGGAGGGGAGGGGGGGTGGAGGGAGGGAGGGAGGAGGAATCCTGCTCGGAGTAACAAGTTCGACTGTAAGATTTTTGGCACCCGCTCAAAACTGTTTGCTTGGCTGTGGTGGCGAGTTCCTCTGCGTGTGATGAAAGCAGTCTCTTCCTGCTCTGTGCTCCAGCAGAACGTTCCCTTTGGCTTGGCTGGCGCTGTGTGGCTCCCTGGAATTCCCGCAGGAGGAGGGGAAGGGAGCGGTGGGAAGCGGGACACACAGTGGTTCAGCAGTTTTGACTGAGAAGGAGCTGAGCGTGCCCTGTTAATGGGGCTGAAGGCATGTGATCTGGGCTCCAGCCACTGTCCTTCCCTCTCCCAGCCCAGCTGAGATGTCAGGAAAATCCAGGCAGCGGGAAACTGGGCCTGGCATCGCGTCTGAAAATCGGGGTTTTGGGGTGGGGGGTGATGGATGTGCAGTTTCCCTGTGGAGACTGAAGTTAATTCCTGTTCCCTTCCCTCTCTTCCAGGGGCTGATAGTTCTTGGTGAGGCGTCACCCCCTGACCCTGCAGTAGATGATTCGTCCCGTCCTCTTCGAGCCGAAGTGAAGCTGGAGCCTGGGGCTGACCGGCTGGTAAGTGCCAGCAGTGGGACTGTCTGAGTCCAGATGCTTCACCTGCACGAATTTTGGGAAGGGAAGGGTCATCCCTAAAAGCTGTGGTGGAGAGGGATGCTCAAACCTTGGGACTGGAGCAGCTCCTCTCTGGGAGTCCACAGATCTGTTGGTCTGTAATTCGCCCCTTCCCACATTGTTTTGGGGTTAATAAGCAATAGGATTTAAACACCTTTTAGAACAGACTTCCTGGAGGCCACCTTTGTACTATGCATTAGCATTTTGTGAAGCTTTAAAATCCCAACTAATCCTTTCCCCTCCAGCAAAAAAAGTACCTCAAACTGGGAGCAGCATGATTAGCAAAGACTGCTAAAGATGTGGCTATTAATATCTGCCTGAGCGTTCCCCCTTGGAAAGGGCACTAATGATTGCAGTGAGAGGCACTGGAAACTATGCAGAGTGCCAGGTATTTATTATTTAATGCAGAAATGTAGGGCACAGACTAAAGGCTTGTTCAGCCTGCCTGTGATTACTTTTGATCCTGTGGGACGCATCGACGTATGAAAATGGAGGATTTGGAAGTTGTCGTGGAGTAGGAAGAGAAAGGTGGTCCCTGCGTGGCTCAAAAACTTCTACTGTCAAGCTGCAGCATTCCTGCTTTTCTATCCCAGTGCCACATCTGGGGAGAAACAGAGCATGAGTGCAGCGGGAGTGCTGGAGGTTCGTGTTCAGTGTGGTTGACACAGGTAAAAAAAAACTTCACTGGAAGGGACCGTAAAACTGTACTTGGGAGTTTTTTCCTGCTAAGACTTTGTCAGGGATTTCCTGATGCTGAGTGATAACATGAAGTAGAGTGGAATTTTTTATTAACACTGGGCCGCTGAGGGGTCACTACGACTGATCGGAATAAAACACCCCCTTGCTCGACCCTGGCTTTCAGATGTGTGTGTGGAGTTTCAAGGCTTTAATTAGCAGATGAGCTGAGCCCAAAACTGGGAGTTTGGTACAAAGGGCGGGTTTTGCTCAGGGACTGAAGCAGCGGGTGGTGGTTGAGATGGGAGCAGGGCTGGGGAGCAGCAGGGACGGGGACTGAAGAGCCCTGATGGAATCACAAGCGTTAGGCAGTGTCTGGGTTTGAGCAGTGCTGTCCCCCCTCCCCTCTCCTGTTCATGCTTTCACCCCAAACCCACGTGGAGAATAACAAACAAGCCCAGGGACAGCGTGCTCCAATCGGCCTCCGGAGCAGCTCCTGCGCTGATGGATTGGCTGTTCTTTGGGAGCTGATCTGGAATGGCAGGCTGATAACGGAGAAAAATGAGCAAATTTATCGGTGGTAGGAAGAAGGTTTTCTTCCTTGTCTGTTTAAATCAGGATGTTTATCTGATGGGAGCGTATCCTACGTGGAATCATGGAATCACAGGATGGTTTGGGACATTAAAGCCCATTCAGTCCCACCCCCCTGCCATGGGCAGGGACACCTTGCACCAGCCCAGGTTGCTCCAAGCCCCATCCAGCCTGGCCTTGGGCATTCCAAGGATCTGGGCAACCTGTGCCAGGGCCTCTCCACCCTCCCAGGGAAGCATTTTTCCTAAAACCCACTCTAAATCTGCCCCCCTTCAGCTTAAGGCCAAGCAGCGTTAATACATAGTAAAGACATTTTCCATCTGCTTACAAAATCATCACATTGTCCTTTTTTAGACTGTCTTAGGCAATCTTGGAATGTTTAGAACAGAAGGTGTGGATTCCTGGTGAATGGAAAAGGAGCTGCTTGCTTCTGTTTTGCTGCTCACAGCCACCTCCCTGTTGCTGTGTTTACTCATTTCCTGCTTTTTCCCTTTTCTCATCCCTTTCACTCCGGTCTGAGCTCTCCAGTCAGAGACTTTTATTGCTGCAGGGCTCGCTCTGGCGGGTCTGGAGGTACCAGGGGCACAAATCACAGACGCTGAGAGCAGTGAAAAACAACATTTTCAGTGTAACACAGGCTGCAGGTTCCCACCTGGCACTTTCTTACGGCTGCTCCTGCAGCCCTGCATCCCACCTTGGAGCCTCCTCCTGAAAGAGGTGTTTTATTCCCTTTCCACAGGGACACACACACGTCATTGCACACTCTGAGCTCCTCTGCGGTGGTGCTGGAGGTGTCAGCCACCAGAACCCAGCCTGGAGGGTTCCTGCTTAATTAGAGCAGCTCGTTAGGGCGGGGTGTTGAGTCAGAGCCTTGATCTGCTCCGAGCCAGAGATTAGCCCCTTTCCTGGGCACTCACTGGAATGGTATCTCTTGGGCCTCTCCTGGAGAGGTGCTGCTTATCATTTTGGCACTCTCCAGGCTGGGAGAATGAGGGGCTTTCCCCTCCCCTCCAAACTGGCAGAGTGTGGAATAAAGGGAGGAATCCATCCTGTCTCATCCCCAGCTCCCTCTGGATCTCACGAGTGCCGTGTCCTTGGGCAGCGGCTTCCTACGTGGGATGTGGCTTGATAATCCCTGGGAGGAACTAATCCTATCGCCAGTGCAGGGAAGGGCCTTGCAAATAAGGCCTGGGAATATCTGTTGGGAACTGGAAGCTCAGTAGGTGAATAAATATTTTTGCCTGAAGATGGAAATAACACCAAGCCCCGAAGCCATAGCTTGGCTGTTGCTGTTGATTCCTTGCTCGGATTGCTCGTCTAGCGGGGGGGTGCACTCAGAATAGTCAGTAGTTAGGGGGTTGTATCTATTCATAGGATGAGGTCTGGCTCTGCCTGGTTCTGTTTGGGTTTTTTTTGGGAATAGGGGGAACATTCCTGTTGTTGGCTCATGACTCCCTGCCCACACACAGCTGCTTTCCTGCCCTGAGGGCCCCTGGTATTCTGCTGTTTTCATGTGCAACACGCAGATGTGCTACAGCTCAGTGTTTGACGCCCCTCCAAGAGCCCTGTGGATCCTCAAAACCCGGAGTTCCAGCCCCAAAACACGGAGAAGAGCTCGGTGAGGAGCACGGATGTGATCCTGAACGCTCCTCTGGATCCCAGCCAGCCCTGGAGGATGGTGTGGAGTTGGGCAGTGCATCCAGGAGGAGCTGGTGTGGGAGCTCTGAGTGCAGGAGCTGTTGGCTCTGGTGGGCCATGTGGGTGCACACCCATTTTTGGGGTGATAAGCTGAGCCTGGACTGCTCCTGATAAATAAATACACGTTGGATTGATGCTTCCCAGCTCCTCCCTGAAAAGCAGCCGGCTCACCCTCTATCCCTGCCTTCAACCACCCAGCCCAAACCACCTCTTGGGGAAGAAGTTCCTCCTTTAAGACCCTTTGTGGAGAAGCAAATAAATACCCATTTCCAAAGAGCTAATGAGTCATGTGTCCCCGCCCTGCCCAACCGGCGAGGAGCTGTCACGTGAAGGCTCAACCCTGCCAAGCCTCTGGAAAGCAGAGGGAAAGTGTTCAGCTCCTGCCCTGCCTTCACCTCACAGGGTTGTTTTTTTTTTTACCTGTGTCTCAGGTGGGATCTGCTCTCGCTCACAGCGGGTGGCAGATGAGCCGGTTGGTCTGATCCCATCGCATTCCGGCTCTGCTCCCCCAGGGAAGAGGCATCTCTCTTTTCCTCTCTCTCTCTCTCTCTCGGCAGAAGTTCCTCAGACAGGCCCAGGCAGAAGTTGTGTCTGTGCTGTTGGAAATGGCCCTTCCCTGGGGTGACTCAGGTCTCTCTGCTCCTCTGGAAACCGTTAATCCAGCGCTGCCCTGGCCGGGTTTAGTTGCTCGCCGAGTTGGGGGTGATTGCAGGGAAGATTTAATCAGTGCAATCTGGATGGATTTGGGGTGGAGTCAGGGACAAGTCTGGACATCTGTAAGGGGGGTCAGAGCTCTGCTTTTGCCTTTTCTGTTAGTCCTTGAGCCACACACAAAGGGGGAGCTCCAGCTGGAGACAGGGCAGGGAGTGTAGGAAGTGCTGCAGGAAGGAAGAAATGAAGTTTAACCCAGGGAGGAGCGTTTGGTCTGACACCAAAAACGAGGGACTGCAAGGCTGAGATGGAGGGTTGATGAGTGCCAGGGGTATGGACACGCTGGACCAAGCTGCGATCTGCTGGGATGGAGAGCAGGAACGTCACTGGTGGGAGGCACCAAGCCAGTCCTGCTGCTCCCTGCAGAGCCAGGGAGTTCGTCTTTCCAGCCTAAGGCAGAAGGGTTTGTGGAGCACAGTGTCTTCAACTCAATTTTTACTCACTTTCCTCTGCCAAAAAGGCGTTTCCAGCTTTGTGTTTACCTGGCACTTTCAGCATTCCACACTTGCCCTGCTTGCATCCCAACCCCACACTTAAAACCCTTCCCAAAGTGCTTTTGGGACCGTGTTTGCACAGGCAGCGAGTTAAAATGCAAATTCACTTTTTGCAAGTCTGTTCTCCTCTCCCTCCCCTCCCATTTTCCCCCAGAGTGCCTTGGAACAGGAGCTTTCAGCACAAACCAAACTGCAGGAGAGCCTGCGAAGGTTTACAGGTGGTGATGAACTCGTTTTGCACCACTGGAGACAAAATGCTAAAATCTCCTTAAAGCCCTCAGCCTTTCATGCTCCCTGGTTGCCTGAGGGGAATTAAAGTCCTTTGGATCTGGGAATGAAAGGGCTGCCGTGGATCCATCCTCTTGCTTGCTCCCTGAGAACTCCTGACGCCCCCGGTCTCATGTTCACAGAGTGACTTCTGAACCCTGGTTTGAAGCCCTGTGTGGAAATCCATGGCTCCAGTGCAGAATCCTCATCCAGAATCCGGGAATAAGAAAGTTGTGGTTGTTTTAAAGATTTTGGTTTTTTTTTTTTTCCCATCCTTCCTTAGAGCGTTTCTGGATCCCAGCCACTAGAAAACTTGGGTATTTCTGCTGCAAATACTCCTGAATCCCATCCCACCAAGCCCTGTGGAGCACCAAGACCCGTCAATGGAGTTATTAACACGTAAGCCGCTGGGATATTACGGGAAGAGCGTGATTTTTATGATCTTGACAACATCCCACTGGAAACCAGCCTGTAACTTGGGTTGGTGGTAGTACAAATGGTCTCTCTTTTTGTTGTTTTTGTTTTTGGTTGGTTTTTTTTCCCCCCTCAAAAAGCACAGTGGTACATCGTGCTTGGAAACATTTTGGAGGAGATCGCTTGCTTGAGGTTTTCTGCTGCATTGTTTTGCTGAAAATGGAATTAAGCTGAGCTGTGTTTACACGAGCAGGCCCTGCAGGCAGCCCTGCACCCGGCACGGCCGAGACTCGGCTCTTTGATGAGGATTTTTAATACGCTTTTGCAGAGGGTGTGATCCAAAGGTGTGCTAGTGCCCCACTTGCAGAATCACCTGTGACCACTGACCCACTTTTCTGGAGTTAACTGAGGGTCACAAATCCTGCTGATTCGTGGGGGGGGGGAGTAAAACTTCCTAAATTCTTGATTTCTCCAGGCTGTTTTTGCTGGGTAAATGGAAACGAGTGGGAGACATTCCGTGATGCTCGAACCACTTGAAAAACCATTGCACCTGCTCAGTTCCTTGAGGGAGGCAGGAAAAAAAGAGAGGGAAAACAGGAAGGAGAGAGGGATGGATCCTGCACCGATGGAGTGCCAGGAAGCGTAGGAATCACGGATCAAGGAACCCGTGGCTGCAGCTGGAACACTGCAGGCTGGAACAGAACCCTTTGTATCCCTGTAGCCTTTGAACTGCACAGCCTTAGACCACGGGGCTTTCATGTTTGGCATTTTTAGAAACGAAGCGCTCGCAGAATAGACATGAGAAGGTTCTGTAGATGAGGTGCTGCTGTGCTGGGAGCTGCTCAGGGCATGGGGGTATTGATGCCGGGGGTGCTGCGTCCTTTGTGTGTGAGAAAAGAGGTTAATCCTACCACTGCACCCCTCTGCTGAGAGTTGTTACAGGTAGAGATCTCAGATGTTCATCAGAATCAGCTTTACATCAGGGTTAAAGATATAATTTTTTTAAATAGAACTGTGTGTTCTCTGGCATTCAGACTCGTGCAGACCTGTTGTCTTAAGGTTCCCTGAGCTGTAATTCTGGAGGAAGCCTGGAATTCTGAGATTAAAGCTGTTCAGGTCCAGAGTGGCTTTTGGCTCTGTGACTGGCTTTAAATAACGATTTTCTGTTCAGAGCTTCCAAAAAGGTATTTTGCCAAAGGTTTCAGTGGAAGGTGACCCAGAGTAAAAGCAAAAATTAGGGTTGGTTTAATCCAAGCCTGAACTTGCAATGCTTTAAACTGAGTCTGAACCTACAGTAGCTGAACAAGTAACGGGATTTTCACCCTCCTCTCTCTTCTGGGCCCAGTCTTCAGCCTGGCCTGGCAGAACACGCTCAGGGAGATGGCCAGGAAGCTGAGGAGCTCTTGCATAAAAAGCAACGACTGAACCTGGTTGCTGCCCCCTCGGACGGGACTTGTGTCGCCGCTCGCACCCGCCCCGTCCTGAGCTGCAAGAAGCGACGGCTCGTCCGCCCCAGCACCATCATGCCCCTTTCCAAAAAGGTGAGTTTGGCTGGTTGTTTTCGGTATTCCTTTTGTTATAAAAAGGGGAAAAATAATGGGGGGACAGCGAGGCTTCAAAGGCTGCCGGAGAAATAAAGGAGAAACGAAGGAGAAGCTTAATTTGTTGGAAGATTTTTTTTTTTTTCTTTTTTTGAGGGGAGGTGCTGAACTCCTGGAGTTTTTTTCTTATCCAAAAGCAACCAGCCCTGAGGTGAACTCAAGGCCAAGTAGATGAGTGTGGCACAGTCTGAGCAGTTAAAAGAAAAACCCTGAGAAGTCAAGTGTCAGGAAACCTTAACTGTGACACAGGAATTAACACAGCCCCGGGAAGTCCCTGCTGCTGTCACTGAAAAAACCACAGCTTGTCTGCCCAGGCACAAATGGATTGTCCTGCTTAGGTGGTTGTGTTTGGCTTCCAGTGGTTAAATTTGGAAGTCACCGAATGCCCTGACTGTTCCTGGGTTTGTTTACCTGGGGTTTTAAAAAATTATTTTATACTTCTCTCCCTTATGCAGAATTCATTCAGTGGAAATACAGTTTATTGCCTGTATGAGGAAGGGCCGTCCTTCATTCTTTTTAATTTCTCATAGGGACACCCTAAACTTGTCAGTTGGAGGGAACAGAGTGAGAAATTGAGGAAATAAGGACCTTTTTTTTTTTTATGCAGAAAGAACCACAGATGGCAAAAACCCACTTACCTTTGAGTCAAAGTGTTTCAAGTCAAACTTTCCCACAAGGGTTCGGGGGGAGGGAGGGGTTTCACTCTGTGAATGTTTTAAAGAGAAGCTCAGAGAAGCAGCATTTTTCTGAGCAAAACAGATTCTTGCTCAGCTGAGTCAGCTTTAACTGATCACTCATTTGCAGTTTTATCTGGGGTGTTTCTGGGAGAGCTCTGCAGTGATTACTGGCAGCATCTTCAGTGATTTGGAAGTGGAGGGACTGTCTCGCTGAATTGTGCCCTCGGTGTTGGAAGAGTTGGCCCTTGATTCTGTGTTGGATCTTTGTTGTAATCACCAAACACGTCTGATAGTCAGAGATGGCTCAGAAGAGCAGTTCCAAGGATGGAAGAAGTGCCAGATATCAGGGGGTTTCTGTGGACTCCTCCAGTTATTCCAGAGAAAGCTGAGTCATGGCTAAGTCCTGCTCCAGAAACACCGTGTTGTGCAGTTGACCCACACTCTCCTGTCTGGCACAAGGTGGTTGTGGGTTGATGGGACCAGAAATAACAACCAGGAGAGATCAAAGTTTCAGCAGAGATCATCCCATAGCTTGAAATGTTAAAGCAGGGAGATGTCCTGTAGGAAAGAAAAGGGGTTTAAAGGTTGAGTGTGTGTAGCCTGCCTTAGTGGCAGAGTGGCAGGATTAGCTCCCTCCTTTCACAGCCAGGAGGTTATAAAGCACAGCCAGCCTGGTTATAAAGCCCCATGGGGTTAATTTCTGTGTGGTTTTTTTTTAATTAATTCTCAGCACTGCTGGTTCAGGCTCATTTTGGGATCCATCACAGCATCCCCTGGGCAGAGCTTTCAGAGGTAGCAGAGGAACTGCTCAGCTACCTCTTCCTCCTCTTCACTGGGCACTGAAGTGTCTGCCCGTTGCATTTGTCCTCAGTGAATTACATTTGATTTATTTTAGATAATTTTTTTTCATTTTGTAACATGAATGGCCTTCCAGCTCTTTCCTTCAAGGTGTTTGTAGCCCTCCCAGTCGAGTGTCATTTGCTGTTATTCTCTTCCATCATTGAAGTCATTCATGGAAATGATGTGACTGATTCTGCCTCAGAACAGGTTTCTGCAGGATCCAGTTGGAGCCATTCTCCCATTTTGATGTGGAATTACGGGTGGTTGTCTCTGCATGGCATTTACATCCAGTTGTGTCAGTGGTTTAATACAAATGAAGTCTGTATAAAGCCTATAAATCTGTGAATCGAGAGTCTGTCCTGGGTTAAGGAACAAGGTTGAAAAACACCTTTGTCACTCTGTAGATGTCCCTGTAAGTGTCAGCTCTTGGCATATAATGATGGCTCTGACCCATCCGAACTAAAAAAGGCGCTTTTTTTCCCGCTCTCTGACAACTGAATTGTGCTGCCTCATGGTTTTTATAAATGAGGTTTCAACCTAGATAAAATTAAACACTTTTAGTCAAATTTAGCAGCTGTTGAGCTGACTGTGCTGGTGGTGTGAGTCGTAGCTCTCAGTTGTGTTCGTGCAAAGTGAAACCATCCTCTCGTGAGGCCAAATTCACAGGTTTTATACAATGTATGTTAAAAAAAAAAAGATGTGTATATGATATATATATATATACAACTTTTAATATAATTGCATATACATTTATATATATATATAAGGTATCTTAAAAAACACACACACACACAAAAACAACAAAACCAAAAAAAAACCAATGCCCTTCAGGGTGTTTCTGATGAGCTGTGCAGTGGGAATGTGTGAAGACAACGCTGAGCTCTGATGTGTTGCCCCCTTTTTTCCCTTGGCCCTTTCCCAGGCCCACCGGAACAACCTGGCGTGCTGCAGCTGTGACGTGAACCCCTCCTGTGCCCTGTGTGGCACCCGCAGCTCCACCACCCTGGAGATCCAGTACGATGCCCCTCTCCTGGAGCGCCTCTCCCAGCTGGACTCCTGTATCCATCCTGTCCTGTCATTCCCAGATGGTAAGTGGGGGGGCACTCACTGGGTCCCCTCAGGGTGGGTTAGGAACTCCATCCTGGGTTTCCAGGCTGTGCAGATCCCTTGGGTACAACCAAACATGTTCATCTGCTGGTGTTTTTAGGATTAGGGGTGTCTGATCTGCTCTGAAATTGTTTTTTTTGGGATCCTCACTGGTGGTGGAGAAGCCAGGAGGTGCCTGGTGGGGGGGGGTCTGTCCTGGGCTGGGGCCTTTTGGTGTTCTAAACCACTTGGGAAATATTTGCTTCTGCAGGGTTTGTTCATCCAGGTAAAATGATCTGGGGATTGGTTTGGTCGCAGGAAATTCTTTTGACCTCGCAAGGAATCGTAAACGGCCTTCCATGGTTCAGGGGGTACAGAAAGAAGGGATATTCCCATTAAGACACTCGTTTCCCTGTGTTACTGCATCAGGGTTAATCATCATTAAGAGGAATAATTAACCAGCCCTGAGTGGGGGTGCTCACAGATTTCACGTGTGGGACCTTTTCCCAAGGGAAAAACACTTTTCCAGAGTCTTCTTGCTGCCAAATTAAACACAAGCCTGTTCTTTGAGCAAAAACTGTTGGCTTGGATGAGATTGGTGGGGTGGGAATGGGTGATCTTGAAGGTCCCTCCCAACCAAAACCCTTCTGGGGTGTTCTGATCCTGGGAGGAAGGTGTGTGGCCCTGCTTCCCACTTGGGTGTCAATGGTAGGTGCAGGTTCAGTCACTGGGCTAAATGTGTGGGTTTGGGTTTAAACTCTAGCTTTTCACAAACTTTGTGTGGCACTAAGGAAGTGCAGGGAGGAATTAATCTGGCATCTTTCGCTGGCACTATATTTAAACCAGGCTAAAATAGTAAATTGGTGCTATTTTTAAAAAGTAGATCGCTCCCCTCCCAGAGAAACAGCTCTGACCAGGAGTGCTCAAGGAACTGAACGAACTCCTGAAGCAGGAATTTATTTCCTGATTTCACAGCACTGGTGATCCTCTCTCTGTGGTGTTAAATACCCTGGGAAGTGGGGAGAGAACCCGTTGGGTTTTATTGCGCCACAGCCACCAGACAAATCATCTCATCCCATATTCTTCCCTTTAGGGGACCTTTTTAGGGTCCCCTGCACCAATTCACAGGGTTTAAAAGATCTTTTCTGGCTGCATGAGACTAAAAAAAGATTTGGGTTTAAAACTAAGTGCTGTAAAGCTTAAAACACCTCCACAGAAATACCCATTTCCCCCCTGCAAGATGAACTTCGATTACCCACTGATGCTTTTCTATCCCAGAAGGAAGCCAAGGTGACACGTTCAGGGGGGACAATCGCCCTGCCCGGTGCTGTGAGTGGGCAGTGAGGTGTGAGATTAATCCAGGACGGGGCTGGGGCTCCTCTGTGAGGATTTTGGGGCTGTCCAGAGGCTCTGTCAGGATTCCTGGCCGAGGCTGTGGGTGCAGCCTGGCTGGGAGCTGTGAGCATGTGCTGACTTTCACTTTGAGCCCTCTGTCTCTCCGGGCTCTCCGGTGCCAGCAGCCCGGGATCTCCGGAGCACTTTGCCAAGGGCAAAATTGCCAGGAGGCTGCGGGAGGAAAAAGATCATTTATTCATTTATTCCCCTGGCAGGCAGAGAGCGCAGCCAGCCAGGCTTTTATTTAACCCCTGCACTTTGTCCCCTTTTGTCCCCTGCCTTTCAGGGCTCTGTGCTGGTGCTGGTGGTTGTTTTTTTGTTGGTGGTGTGGGGGTTTTTTTTGTTTTTTTTTTTTTCTGGTTCATCTGCTTCCTCGCTGGGAATTTTTGGATGATGTAATAACCTTGGTGGGAGGGTGAGCGCTGGGCTCAGTGTGGTTGCCATCTGCTGGTCCCTGGGAGCCCTGCACTGCTGCCCGAGGAGGAAGAGGAGGGAGTGATGGTGTCTCTTTGCTGCACAGTCCCTGCTGCCAGCAGGGCGGTGCCAAACCACCAAATAACTCTCTTTTTTTTTTTTTTCTGACAACTTTCTGTGTTGCCGTTTTTTTCTCTCCCTTCAGCCTGTCCCCTCCTTGGAGAAGATGAATTCACATCTCAGTAGTTTTCTTGTTAACCCTGAAGGGTTTAATGCTTTTCCCAACTAGGGGTTTGGCCCTTGGGCTTATAAAAGGGAGATGGGTCTTGGAGGAGGCTTTGGCACTCACATCTGGAGTGTGAAGCTCTGAGTGTGAAAAGAAGAGAGGTTGGAGTAGTTTGCTACTCCAGTTACTGGTTTTTATTCCCTCCCTTAGCCTGTCTGCACAAGAATAACCTCCTCAGTGTTCTGTCTTTGGGCTGAGGTCAGCGTGTGTGGATCTGGGGGAAACAAAGCTGTGAATCCTGTAGAAAAGTCCTTCTCTCAAAGAGCTGCGGATTAGAAAGGCTGGGTCCTATTGCAGATCCTTTCTGACCACGAGGAGGGTGTAGGCAACCCCGTGTCTTCCAGTATGTTCACCGAGGGCTGTTCTTACTGGGGGGACTGGGAGAGGGTGATGGGACCGCAGCTTTTTGTCTCACCAGTTAATTCAATCTCCGTGTCCTGTGTCCCCCCTGCAGATGTGCCGACGAGCCTGCACTTCCAGAGCATGTTGAAATCCCAGTGGCAGAACAAACCCTACGAGAAAACTAAACCTCCCAAAAAGCTGTCGCTCAAGCACAGAGCCCCCCTGCCCACCAGCCTGGCAGACCCTGCCCGCAAGGACCGCCACAAGCTGGTCAACTCCTTCTTCACCGCAGCCAGTAAGTGTTGCCCCTGCCCACTCTGCTGCCCCACACTCTGGGTGGAGAGAGGAGGAGGAGGAGGAGGAGACCCTTCAGATCCCACTCTGGGGGATGAGGCAGTCCAGGGCTGCAGGTGAAGTGTGTGCAGGCGGTGCAGCTCAGGTTTGTAGGGACACAAACTCGGGGGTGAGCGCGGGCAGTGCCGCAGCTCGCTCGGCCCCTGAGCACACCCCTCCAGCCCCCTGATGTTACGGAGCTGCTGAACTCTGCCCCAGCCCCCCTGTGCCAGCAGAAAGAGAGGGGAAAGCAGGCGTTTTTCATAGCTCTTTCTCTGTTCCCCTCCTCAGAGCGCTCCCATCAAAAAGCCCAAGCAGACAAGGCACACAGGCCGCCTTTAGACGATTTTTCGGCCGTGGCCAAGGCCGAGAGAGCGCCAGAGCGCTCTGCCCAGCCCGCTGCCCCTGACAAAAAGAGGTTGCGAGACTGCTCATCTGAGAGGAGTGAAGGTAGGCCCCCAGGGGCAGGTGTCTCGGGGGGAGCTTGGGCTTTGCTGCACACCCAGCCTCTCTGGGGGCACGCACTGCTTGGGGCCGTGTCGCCGCCGCAGCGACGCCTCGTGTGCTCTTCGACTGCTTCTCCCCCAGGGCCTGCCAGCCTGGAAGGCGCTTCTCTTTCCTGCACAGAGCTCCTCAGCACTGCCCATTTCTGGTGCACATGGTCCTTTTACTCTCCACCGCCCTCCCCACCCCCCTGGGTGGGTTTTTTGGTTTTTTGGTTGTTTTTTTTTTTGGCTAATGTCGTCCTTCCTTCTCTCCCGCCCTCCCCGTGCAGTGCTGAAGCATCACCCGGACGTCGGCGGCCCGAGCTACTTGTCGGCAGCTGTGACCCCCACCCCTCACAGCCCCATAGCTCGGCAACTCTCCACCTCCTCAGAGGGCTCAGCTCCCACCAGCTCAGCCTCCCAGGGCTCCTCCAGCACCGCCGTGAGTATCCCCTGCCTTTCTGGAAGGGTCTCTGTGCTCAACTCCATCCCCAGGGCTTGGCTTTGGAGCAGTTCTTCGGCTGGACGCTCCTCAGCGCTTCTCTTACCATGTTGGTTCAGCTCAGGGTGGGGTTGCTGACCCTCTTCACTCTGATGTTGGGTCTGGTGATGTTCCTGGGTGGGTGTTGGCTGTGCAGAGCTGCAATCCCAGGTTCACCATCAGCTCGGGAACTGCTGGTGAATGTTCCTGTTCCCAGCAGTCTCTTGGCTCCGCTCCACGCCCGGGTTCTGGTCTCTGAAGTTGTGTGGGGATGCCAGGAGGAGGAGAGCTGAGCAGCAGCAGTGCTGCTGCTGGAGCAGGGGGGCTTCCACTGGGACAGCTTTCCCTGGGCTGTGGGTGGGGTTGGGGTCACAGGTCCATGGTACAACATAATTTGCATAATATTTAAATTATGCACAAGCTTCAGCACTTGCTTAACTCAGACCATCTTCTGAGGCACACTCAACCTCCCAAAATGCTCAAGGAAGACAGGATTTGGGACCTCTGGGCAGCTGTGGGGTGAGCAGGACCCCTCCCCTGTGCTCTGGGACAGATCCATGGCAGAGCTCCTCCACCAGAGCCTGACCCTCCTTAGCAGAAGCTGTGGGTTGAAGGATTGAATTCACCTGAGCTCACAAGTGTCCCAGTGAATAATTTGGCTTCTGTCTGGCCACCCCAGTTGGTAGTTTGGGCCAAAGCCTGAGCTGGATGTGACCCAGGGACAGTGGAGCAGGACTCCTTGAACCCTGACAGGGACACCAGGGTGGGCAAGAGCCGTCTGTCCCTGGCAGAGCTGAGGCACCACTTGCAGCTCAGTCCCTTTGTCCCTGCTCCAAGAGCGTTGTTTGGGGTTCCAGGACCTGACTGGGTTCCTTCCCTGTGGAATTCAGTTGTTGCATCATCAGCTGTGACACCAGTGAAGCCCCGGGGTGTGAGAAGAACCCAGAAGAGCAGTGATGGTTCAGCTGGAGTGTGCTCAG